TTTTTTTTTCTGCCCGCTCTCTTTCCCTCTTCCCGAGGTATAACTGTTGGCTTATCCATTTCCCTTTTACCCCCCCCTTTTTCCTGGTTCCTCCATCTCACCCTTTTTCCCGCTCTTCATTTTGGCGGGAAAAACTTCCACGTCACTCCTGCCACTGTGACGTCGGGATCCTCGCCACCGGTCGCACCTCGGCCCGTTCCCCGTCCCGACCCAACCTATCCCATCCACCACCGTCATCCTTATGCCCGCCTTCCATCTTCGTGAGACAATTATTATTTTATTTTTTTTGAAATCTTGGTCAGACTTAATCAGAAGCTGTCATGAGAGGCGCAAATCCCGTGCCATGTCAGGGATTGAAAAGCCTTGCCCCTGTCTTCACTAACCCTGACACTGGTGTAGACACATGGCGACGGGTGGATGGATGCACCCCTTCTTCATATCCAGACAAGGGTCAGCGCGAAGGACTCTCTATCCATCGTGTCTGCATAGCAGCCATCTCCATAAGCTACTTGCTTGATTGGGAGGAGTGACATCTCTCGCTCAAGAACGGGAAGCGAGGGAGGGAGGGAGGGAGTTGGGAGGAGTGACATCTCTCGCTCAAGAAGGGAAAGGGAGGGAGGGAAGGAGGGAGGGAGGGAGGGAAGGAGGGCGGGGGGATGGGAGGGAGCAATCTCAAATAAAGATAAGAGAGAGGAGAGGACAGCATCGAAAGGAGATAGACAAGAGAAGGAGAAGAGTAGAAGCAAGGAGGAGAAGAACCGAAGAAAAACGCATATCAGAGAGGGAGGCGGTACAATTCGGAGAAGAATGGAAGTAAGACGAGGGCAGAGGCATGATAAGGCGGACAGATAAGGGGAAAGAAAAGCGAGAAGAAACCAGAGAATAAGGTGGAAAAAAATACACACACACACACAAAAAAAAAAAAAAAAAAAAAAAAAACAGAAAACCACGCATAACCTTCAATTGATCAACATGGTGACCACCCACAGGACCGAAGCTATCATTCTCTCTCTCTCTGTGCAGGACTTGTTTCAATCGACACGATGCCCATGATTGTCATGACACAAGAAAAGAAAAAAGGGTGAATCAACAAAACCGGTTGTTGATTGTTGGATTCGATCGATAAATGGGAACGGTTGATTAGATCGATAAATGGGAAGAAGGTCGATCTACGAGCGCAGACGAGAAATGGACGACATCGGGGAGATCGACACAATCACCTCTCCTCTTGTGCGTCCCTTAATCCTTCTTCAAAGGGAAGGTCTCTCTTCGGATGCCTTGTCTGTTTATAATCACAACTTCCACTGCATCTCCCGTGTAAATGTCTCTTTCCCCCGCCGACGCCATCGTATCCTTCACGATATCCACGGCTTCTGACTCGGTGAGCGGCGTGGCAGTGCTCTGCGGAGGATATAACAACGGACTTGCCGATTTCAGCTGATTATCCAGCACGGGCACGACGAGCTGCTGCCCTGTCCCTTGCACACTATACCCCACTCTCTCGTACGAACCCACCGCATCATACGTGTACACACATCCTTTCCCTTCGTTATCTAGTCCTCCCAACAGATTGAAGGTGTAGTATGGAAAGAACCTCTTGTAATACAACGTGTTCGATAGCAACTGCGCCATCGCCGGGCAGCTCATCTCCTTGTTATGTTGATGCCTATAGACCTGGTTCTTGGCGTTGAGCATCTTCTGCAGAGTTTTCATGTCCGCCTGAAACCCGGAAGTCCCAAGTACCGATTTCTCAGAGAGCTGCACAATCTTCGACGCATCTCTGGTTAATATACTGAATCCCGTAGAAAGCCGTGTGTCTGCAGCGATCACACAGTAATCTTCGCCCGCGATTGCCACGCAGGTCCCACCATTATTATCGTACGGATTGAATGATGATCTGTTCTTAACGACCCCTCTCGTCTCTACCCCCTCCGCTTGAGCTTCCATGGATAGTGTGCACGCCATCGCGCTGCACCTGCTGCGCATACAATCAATAGTCATCATGCACATAGATCATAACAGAATTGACCGACAAAATCATGCAGACCGTTGGATCAGATCGATTTTAACGGAAGTGATAATCTCACCACCGACTATTACAAAACATACACGATTGTCCTTCGGGACATCCGTTAAAATTGGAACGATACAGAGAAGATTTGCATGGCCCCTGCGCTTTCAAGGATGACACGCATAAATCGAGAAGTGGTCCAAAAAAAAAAAACAAAAAAAAAAACATACACGAGAGTGCTCATCACCTCCACCTCCTATAGCGCATATCCGAACACCACCACGAATCATCGCCCCGCGACAAACACACGTACTCCCTCCCACCCCAGCCGTAAACCACAAAATAATGCAATTACGATCACAAAATACAACGACGACAACAACAACTTCAACAGAGCCATCAATTCATCATGAAGAATAAATACAAGGTAACGACCTCACCTCGTCCACAAAACAANATCAATTCATCATGAAGAATAAATACAAGGTAACGACCTCACCTCGTCCACAAAACAAACCTCAAAATTCAGCAATCTATACAGAGTCAGCAATCTATACAGAGCCAGCAATCTATACGGAGTCAGCAATCTATGAACTATACGATGCAAATACGATGCAATGACCTCTTTAACCTCGTACACAAATCTTTTTTTCTTTCTTTTTTTTTTTCCAAATCTTTTTGTCCTCAAAAGTCAGAAACAAGCTTGACAGAAGCGCTATGAGATCGAAACAGAGCACAAACAATAATCCAATATCGATCAACCCACCCACTAAATCTGCGAGATTGAGTAGAAAAAACGTTTTGAACAAATTCAATATTGACATCATTGAATAGAAAAACGTTTGAACAAATTCATTATTGACATCATTAAATAGACAAACGTTTGAACAAATTCATTATTGACATCATTGAGTTGAACCAAAAAAACGTTCGATCAAATTCATTATTGACATCATTGAGTAGAAAAAACGTTTTAAAAGTTCGAGCAACTTCATTATTGACATCATCGAGTACACACTGCACTACACGCAACAACAAATAAAATGGCATGCCACTACTCGAAAAAGGACAACGTTTTCGAAAAAGAACAACGTTTTCGAAACAGTTAACTGTATTCTTTCAGCTTTTTTTAAATCATAAAAAAACGTTGTTCTTTAGGTCCGTTGTCTTTTTTTTTCCCCTGACAAAAGGGCGGGCTGTCTTTAGTAGAAAAACGTTGTTCTTTTATTATATCCACAGGTGACCGGGCCCAGGTAATTCGAGATTATTATGGAAGTTAATAGTGGATTATACGTCACGATTATGGGTCATCGAGCTTGTCTTATGACAGGTGTAGGTGGTCTAAATCCGAATCGGATCTGCTGAGATTTGCTGTGAATGCCGAGTGTCGTTAGGACCTGTACCACTAACAGGTGTATGTGTCGTGCGCTCATCGGAGCCAAAGTTAGGGTCCGTGTATTTACTCTAGTTCCGAGTCAAAGTACAGGTCCGTGTATTTACTCTAGTTCTGAGTCAAAGTTAGGGTCCCTGTATTTACTATAGGTCTTGAGTGTTTATGCTTGGTTGGCAGCAGTGTGGCCCGGAGAGGGACAAGGTAGGAATAGAGAGAGACGGTCAGGAGTAGGATTGCAAGTTAGTGGCAAGTTAGGTTAGCACATACGGACAAAAGTAGACTTGGCCACAAACCCCGTAAGGATTTTTCAGCAACCGGGGTCGGCCCTGGAGTCCAGTACCCCTGGCCCCATCACTCCCTTTACCTCTCCCCCTCTTTCCCTCTCTTTCTCCACCTCACTCTTCTTCCCTTCACTCCCTGTCCCTTTCCCTCTCCCAAGTTAGTGCCCATTCAACACCTCCTTTCCCCCCTTCCCCCCTTCCCCCATTCGACAGACCCTCCTTTCCCCCCGGCGCGCTCCCCCCATCACTCTCTTAACCTCTCCCCCTCTTTCCCTCTCTTTCTCCACCCCACTCTTCTTCTTCTCTCCCTGTCCCTTTCCCTCTCCCAAATTCGTGCCCATTCAACACACTCCTTTCCTTCTTTCCCCCTTTCCCCATTCAACAGACCCTCCTTTCCCCCCGGCGCGCCCCCC